GTCAAAGTCTGAGAATCAATCTTCTCAAGCACCTCAGATTTGTGTCTTGTTGCTTTATGTAAAACTCCCACACAAATAGTAAATGATTAAATGATTATATGGCATGATTATTCTGTTGCCTATTTTAGATTTGACATATTTTTAGAATTATCATTAAGCACACAGTTGAGTTTTTCTGCCCAGTGGGTGTTTATTTTATTTATCAAGTTTATTGGTACATTTTAAGTATACAATATGATGACATTCATCATTGGGAATTTGTACCTTTTGCATGATGTATCTTGGTTCTTATTTTTTATATAAAAGTGGCTATTTCTGGTAATTTCATTTAAAACTTTAGCATAATGAATAGATTTTAGGTTGTATCAACTACTTTGTATAACCCATTGAAATGATTGTGTGTGTCTTGCTTAACTCTTACAGTAATATGCATGTGTTCTTAAGTACATTCACTGGTTTGGAGTTTTGTATCTTATCATTTATTTATTATCTTCTCCCTTTTGATTTCCTTTGGGCTTTTGTTCTGGTTATCCTTCTTCCTGATTCTGCCTGCAGTCTTTACAGATATATTAAATGGTAGGAATATTAGTCAGGGTTCCTCAGAGAAATGGAACCACAATGGGAGATAGGAAGATGAAAGATATAGATAGACAGACAGATAGGTGATACATATAGTAGGAGATTTAGTATAAGAATTTAACCACACAGTTATGGAGACCAAGAAGTCCCATAGTCTACCAGTATGAAAGCTAGAAGTCCAGAAAAGATGGAAGCATAGAACTAGTCTGAATTTAATTAGAGGAGCTAAAGAGAAAAGTACCTGGGTACAAAGGCCTGACTACAGCAGTGTTGACATGCTAAGCAGGAGACTGCAAATGTCTAGCTCATGAAGAGAAAGCACACCCTCCTTCCTCCACCATTTGATTTATCTGGGCCCTCAGTGGAGTGGATGGTGCCCACCACATTGGTGAGTGTGGTGGATTCCTCCTCCTCATTCAACATTCAGCTGAATGGTTCAAATGTCAGTCTCTTCCAGAACACGCTTACAGACATACCTGGTTACAATGCTTTGCCAGCTATCTGTGCATCCTTTAGCCTAGCCAGGTTGTCACACATACCATTAGTCATCTCCCTGGGAGACTTTAGATAAAATTCACCTGGGCAAGGAGGCTATGTGAGCCCTCCAGTCAGCAAGTGGACAAACACCAAATGGTAAAGTAAGAAACACTCCTGTCAACTTCTAAACACTGCTAGCAATGAGTAATTAGTAAAAGAATTGCATAATGCTGCACACTGTGGCACACACCTGTAATCCCAGCACTTGGGAGGCTGATGCAGGAGGATTGCCATGAGTTCAAGGCCAATCTAGTTTACATAGTGAGTTCAACGACAGCCTGAATTGCTTAGTGAGACCCTGTCTCAGGAAAAAAAAAAAAAAGAATTGCATATATTTAGAGCATTTTTAATGATTATTTACTTAATATTTGAAAATTAACCTTAACATTTCTATAATCAGTAATGTTGGGCATTTCACCAATTTTTAACTTTAAAAAAGATTTCTCATATGTACTTCTGTGATTGTTACAATAGAGATTTTGGACAGATCTACTCATTTCCTAGGAAATCTATGTTTTGTCACATGCAAAATTGCATGGTTCTGTCAAGAAATTTTCCCCGAGACTTATTAACTGTTATATCTGGTAGAAATCTGATTTCTATTTGTGTTTACAGCAGTTTGTGCATAAATAAGTGAAACAGGCAACATTAGTAACTGTTAACATCTTTTAGAACAGCACATGTTATGCCAAGTGTGCCTGATATCGATATGTTTCCTATAAAACATCTTTATTTTGCTGGAATAAATCCTATATGCTCTTGGTGTATTATTCTTTTAACATAAGACTGATTTTACTTACTGATATTGTATTTCAATGCTTTCTGTATTCAGATATGATGTTGGCAGAGACTTTGCTTTGTAGGGGTGTCTTTATCAGATTTTCAGCTCTGAATTACACTGACTTTGTTGATTAATATGGACATCTTGAAATGCTTTTCTTTGGAACAGTTTATAGCACAGAGGAGTCACTTGTATTAAGAATAATTAACAATATATCTTTGTAGATGCTGTAAATAGTCTTCAATTTAACCTCAAAACTCTTTTCTATTTTTTCTTGCTTCAAGTTTGGGCTGCCATATTTTCAAAGATAATTTTATCCCAAATTTATTGACATTTCACATTATCTAACCATTTGGCATAATATGCTCTCATAACTTAAAAACTGTCTTACATCAGTTGTTTTATCAGTTTTTAAAAATTTTAATTTTGCTAACTGAATCAAATTTTTCATTAAATTTACTAATTTAGGTTTCTGCTGTAGTTTTGGTCTAGAATTCCTCAAAAGGTCCATATCTTACAGGAGCTACTGAGAGGTTGTAGAAACTTTGGGAAGTGGGGTTTGTTTGAAGATGTGTCCCTTGAGGGCATTGGTGGATGGCAGTCTCTTCCTCTTTTACTTTCTGGCTATGACTTCGAGCCCTTTTGCTCTGCCATATGCTTTCACTGGGATATGCTGCCTTATTACAGGCCCCAAACAATAGAGCGAATTGATCTCAGATGGAAACTTTTGAAAATGTAAGCAAAAATAAACCTTTTTCTCTATAAACTGGTACTATCAAGTACTTCGTTATAGTGATGGAAAGTTGGCTAACCTGGTTTCTTTATTTTATCATGTACTTATCTTTCCCCTTCTTATTTCCTTTGGGTTTCTATTGCCCTATTCTTGCCAATAGTCTCCTGTGACCTTGTGACTTGACCCCTTTTCCATGCCCACTGATGTTTGTCTGATGCAAGCACAGATCTTCAGAAAGGCAGGATTAGCCATTAGATTTTTACTAGAACTGTAATTACAAGACTCAAAGTCTGTAATTGTTAACTGTGGGGAGCCAAGTTGCAAAGTCATAATGAGTACAGACCAATTTTATTGTCACCAGAAAAGCCCCATGCAAACTGAAACTGAGGGAAAGAAAGATGCCAACCTGAGCTGTGATACTGGTAGAAGAAAGCTAAGAATGTGTAGAGAGAAGCGAAGACCAGGAGCCATGTCATCTCGGGAGATGAAGATGGGGAATCCCGCTGCCTTTTTTCTTTCAGTTCCATGATGTCTGATTATACTTCCGCCATGTATTTCTCCCATTCTTCCGTCCCCACTATAATGGGGATCGAACTCAGGGCCTTGTGCATGTGAGGCAGGCGAGGTGCCACTGAGCTACATCCCAATCCCTGCCTATGTATTTCTATAAGGATCCCCCTCTGTTCTTTTTTCTTTTTTGTACCAGGGATGGAACTTGGGCCCAGTGCCCAGAACCACTAAGCTAAATCCCTTCGGCCTCCCCACCCCGTTTTTATATAGATGTTATCCTCTAGCTAGACTAGAGTTTCTGTTTTATGGAACCAAATATGTCTTGAGCTATCTCCTTACATTTTAAACTTCACACTTATTTTACTTTTATTATTTTTTAAATAATAGAGTTTGAAATAATTGACACTGAATTGATGCAAATTCATTATTTCTTCCTTTAATTACTCAGAAGGATTCAGATCCTCTGGTTCTTCAATAATCTTTGCCTTGCCCATTTTCTACTATTCTTTACAGCCAACACTGGGATGCAGTTTATTCTTAATGGTTCTCTTAAATTTCTCCCAAGTAGGTAAGGCACCAGATTCTCATCTCATTTTCTTCCTGAATTACAAATCCAAATTAGGTTAAAAAATTAAATCTTTCTCTCTGTGAATGTATATCCACATAGGGCAAAAAGATTGAAAGAAAATAGGCCATGATATTATGAGTGGTTACTCAAAGCTTTTATTTTCTTGTTTGTGTTTCTCTATTTTTGGAAACAATGAGAGTACATTATTTTATATTCAGATGAGTTCAATTACATGGTATTAAAGATGAACAATTAATTTCCTCTGACTCTGATTTTGCTGTAAAACAGAGGTATTTATATATAATAGTTTTTTTTGGTGGGGGTACCAGGGATAGAACTCAGGACCTTGCAATTGTGAGGCAGGCGGTGGCACCACTGAGCTAAATCCTGGCCCTTATATATAATGGTGTTGATTTCATTGATTTCCACATTTGCTATTACTTGACACAAATGTAATTTTACCAAGAATTTGTTCACTTACAAGTTTTAAGTATATTTGTCTCTTTGAACTTATATTACTAACAGAGCATCATTTACCTGACCAACAGACTTGGGGGAATATTAAGTCATAGTGTTTTTTAAAAGTTTGCCCCGTATCTTATTTCTCTGCTGGTTCTAACCTGTCCTTCCAAGTCACTGGTAGAACATAAATTATTGACACAGGTACTGTACATTTTTTCATTCACTGCTTTCAGTAATTATTTATGTGGAACTCATGGTTTGCCTAACATAATTCTAAGGTCTGAGGATAAGGTACGGAACTGAACAAGATGTAAAAAACTCTTTTTTTAATGGAGTTGATAATCTAACAGGGAGACAAGGAAAAAAATCAGAGTGTAGTGTACAGAAATAACAACTATGGGGGAGGGATGGAGATGTTTAAGTTGGATACAATAAAGACTGGGTTTTGGGGAAGGGTTCTTTGTAATGGTCTATTTACAGTGAGATCTGAAAATATGGAGGAAATCACCCCAGGCGGAAAGGGCACTGGTGCGAAGAGCCTAACAAAAGAGCCTGCATTTTTTGAGGAAAAAAATCAAAGAAAGCTGGAGTTCATGTGGGCAAGAGGAAATATGATGAGAGATTCGCCCGGAGAGGAGGGCAGAGAACAGTGCATGAAGGTGCAGAATGAAGTTGATGGTGTGGATCTTGTTTTCAGGTTGATGGGAAGTAACTGGAGCATTTTAAGCAGGGTACGGCATGGTTTATTTTATGTATTAAAAAGATAACTTGAGGACTTTGGCTCTGGGCAAATGGAGAACATATAATTTTTCCTTTTTATCCACAACCAGTATCCCTAGATGTTATATATACATATCAGAAGATTCTGAAAGGTGAAGAGAAGAAGCCAGGCTGGTCAGGGACTTCAGAACCCAAGGAATAACTCAAAGGTGAGTTTTTTGGTATATTTTTAACTTCTTATCTTATATACCTACAACTTTGTCTGAGGAAGCCAACAACACAAAAACAGATGCTGACTCAAAGAAGCCCTAATAAAAGTTTACTCTGTCAAGTGGTATAGGAAAAAGTACATACTCCATCTTCTCAAAGAAGTCTTCAAACAGTGTTTGAGTCAGGAATCACTAATACAAAGACAAAAAAAGGAAAAAAGAAAAGAAAAACAGCAATGACACAGCACAAAACTAAATATAAAAAAATTGGCAGTATTAAGCCCTAATGTATCAATAATTATATTAGCTGTAAGTGTTCTAAATATAACAATCAAAAGACAGAAATTGGCAGAATGGATTAAAAAGTATGACCCAAGAATGTAATATCGTTATGAAACTCACTTTGAATATAACACTACTAGCAGGTTAAAATAGTAAGAAAGTAAAAACATACATCATGCAAACACTAATCGATCAAAGCAAGAGTGGTTATATTAATATCAGAGTATATTTGGAGCAAAAATTATTAGAGATGAAGATAGACATGATATAATGATAAGAGAATCAACCCACTGAAAGACATAACAAATCTGAAATGTATATGCACCATACATTAGAACTGCAAAAGGTATGAAGCAAAAACTAATATAACTGGAAAGAGAAACAGACAAACAAGTCCCTTATTATGGATAGGTTTTCAACATCCTTCTCTCAGTAACACGTAGAACAATTAGAAAAATCAACAATAGAAGAGAACTCAACAAAACCATCCAAAACAGGATCTAACTGACACTGAACACTCAATTAGACAGCAGAGGAATGTGCATTAAGTCTCCAAACTCTTATAATCAAGGTATATCATATCCTGGGTCCTGAAATAAACTTCATCAAATTTAAAAGAGTTGAGATCAACAGTGATCACAATGGACTCAAACTATAAGTCACTAACAGAAAGATAGGGAATTTTCTAAACATTGGATACTAATAATACAGTTGTAATGATGCATGGATCAAAGAGGAAGCCTGAAGAAAAATTTTGAAAAATTAAATTTATGGCCACAGGTAAATCAGATGAAAAAGCATTTGTAGTGCTAAATGTGCACATTGGAAAAGAGGAGAAGTTGTAAATCCATATTTCTTTAACAATTGAGAAAACAATAGCCAAAAATGAACTTAAAGCAAACAGAAGAAAGAAAATGATAAACAGTGGAAATAAATGAAGTTGAAAAGAGAAAAAGAATACAGAAAATCAATAAAAGAACTTTTTTGGAAAATATCAGTAAAATTGACAGGTTAATAGCAAGACTGACATAAAAAGCTGAGCCACAAAATTAATATCCGGAATGATACAGGGGATATCACTACCAGCCCTACAGACCTCAAAAGGATAAGAACACAGTGAACAACACTTTAAGTACTACGCTCAAAAATGTGACAAATTAGATGAAATAGATTAATTCTTTGAAAAATACAACTATGAAAACCCACCTACAATGAAATTGATCATTTGAATAGAGAATCGAATTATTTCAATTCAAAAGAATACAAATACAAAATTTTTAATTCCCAAAAAAGAAACCTAGTTGGTTTCATTAGTGAATTCTTAAAGAAGAATACTTAATAAAGAATGACACCAAGTCTACTTCATCTCTTTCAGAAAATAGAAGAGAAATGCCAAAATGGGAGAAAGATAGTATAAAAAGGAAAATTGCAGACTAATAGTTCTCCTGAATATTGAGACAAAAATCTTTAAGAAAATATAAGCAAATAGCATTCAGCAATATCAGAGTTTTAAAATTTTCCTTATATAGATATTTTAAAGTCTTCGATAATAGAGGTTTATTTCTTTATTAATATGTGTTTATTAGAGCCTACAGGATATTGGATTTCAATGTGTTCTTTTCATACAAATATATAATAAATTTTGATCAGATCCCTTCCCACTACTGTCTTCCCTTTGGTCCCGCTGCTCTCCCCCTTATTTCCTTTCTCTTGACCAATAATAATATCCTTTCATATTATCAGTTTTAGGTTCCATATTTTAGTGAAAACATAAGATATTGGTTTTTCTCAGGCAGGCTTAATTTCTTACAATGATGATTTCTATTTCCATCTAATTTCCTGCAGATGACATAATTTCATTCTTCTTTATGGCTGAATAATACCCCATTGTGTGCAATGTATGGACCACATTTTCTTTATGTGTCCTTCTGTTGGTGGACACCTATACTGGTTTCGTATTTCGGCTACCGTGAACTGTGCCACAATAAACATGCATATGAAGGTAACCCTATGCTGCACCATGACTTTACTTCCTTTGAGTTGTAGAACTAGCTCATAGGGTAGTTTTATTTTAATTTTTTTCAAGGAACTTTGGTAGTGATTTCTGTAGTACCTGTACTAATACTGATTTTGTATTCATGATAACCACCATGCTGACTGGGGTGAGATGGAATCTCAATGTATTTTTTCATTTGCATTTCCCTAATAGCTATAGTTGTTTAACATTTTTTCATATACTGATTGCCCACTTATACTGCTTTTGAGAAGGAGCTGTTGGATTCATTTGGCATTTATTGACCAGACTGTTTCTATTCTTCATGTCAAGTTTTTTTGAGCTCTTTATATATTCTAGATATTACTGCTCTGTCAGAAGTATCTGACAAAGATTTTCTCCTATTCTGTAGGCCAGTGGTGGCAAACCTATGGAACATGAGTTGTTTCTCTTTTAAGACAAGAGATGTTAATGTGTAAGTTTTTTCTTCTAAACAAAAACTTAGCATTCAGCTTTAATTGCAGTGTTGGCACTTTGTGATCAATAAGTGAGGTTTGGGTTGCAGTTTGGGCAGTCGCCTCTAAAAGTTTCACCATCCCTACTGTGAGCTGTTTCTTCACCTTTATTGTTTCCCATACTGTACAGAAGGTTTTGAATTTGATATAGTTCCATTTGTTGATTCTTGCTATTATTTTCTGTGTCATAAAGTCCTATTTGGGAAGTCTTTACCTGTACCTATGGTTTCAAGTGTTCCCCCTATGTTTTCTTGTAGAAGTTTCAAAGTTTCAGGTCTTATATGTAGGTATTTGATCCATTTTGAATGATTTCTGAGTGAGAGATGGGGATCTAGTTTTACTCTTCTATATATGGATATTCAGTTTTCACAGCACCATTTGTTAAAAAGGCTGTCTTTTCTCCAACATATATTTTTGACTTGGTTGTCAAGAAGCAGATGGCTGTAGTCACGTGGGATTTTTTCTGTGTCCTCTGTTCTATCCCACTGGTCTATATGTCTTGGCCTTGGTCTTTGTGCCACTAGTGCATTGCTCTTGTTGCTATGTTTTTGTTACGACAGCTTTGTAGTATAACTTCAATTCAGATATTGTAATACCTCCACCTTGCTCATTTTTCCTTAGGATTGTTTTGACTTTTCTGAGTCTTGTGTTTCCATATTGTTGTGATTTATATGCAGAGGTCTCCCAAGAGCCTCATGTGCTCATAGGTTAGGCTTTTGCTGTTAAGAAGGGTGTCTGTTTGGAAGAAGTGGGCCACTGAGGCATAGCCTCAAAGAATTTATCTCCCTCCTCAGATTCTTCCTGTGCTCTCTGCCCCCTAAATGCCACTAGGTGAGCATCTCCTCTGCCCAGGCTCTTCTTTTGTGCCGCTCTGCCTTGGAGCCAGCCCATCTATTTTAGAAAACCTCAAACTGTGAGCCCAAATAAACCTTTCCTCAAGTTGTAAGTGTTGGGTATTGGGTCTCAATGATGAGGAAAACTGGCTAAGACATATGAATTTTAGGATTCTTTCTAAATCTGTAAAGAGTATCATTGGAATTTTGCAATGAATCTGTAAACCGCTTTTAGTAATATGGGTATTTAAACAAAATTTATTCTGCCAATCCATGAACACAGGAATTCTTTCCATTTTCTAGTGTTTTCTTCAATTTTTTTTCTTCAGAGTTCCATTTTTTTTGTTCACCTTCTTATTTAGGCTGATCTAGGTAATTATAACCTATTTTTAATAAATTGTGTTCCTGATTTCTTTCTCAGTTAAATCATCATTTATGTATACTCATATAGATCTTACTATTTTGTTAGATTTATTCTTAAGTTTTGGGGAGAGTGCTAGTGTAACTGGTATTATTTTTAAGATTCAAATTTAAATTATTCATTGCTAGTACGTATGAAGTCAACTGTATGCTAATCTCACATCCTAAGACTTTGCTATAATTACTTACTAGCTTTAAGATTTCTTTTTGTGTCAATTCATTAGGATTTTTTGTGTAAATAATAAGTTTATTTGCAAACAAAATTTTATTTCTTCCTCCTTAGTGTTTGTACATTTCATTTCCTTTTATTGTCTTATACCATTAGAATTTTGTTGAATAGGATGGAAAAGGGAAATTCTACTTGTAGTGTCTTTTCTGGTTATATTAGAATGATGCTGTCCTCAAAAAAGTCAGAAAATATATCCTCTGTGTATATTGTCTGGAATAGACTGTACAGTGTTCATACTATTTCTATCCCAGAAATTTGGTAGAATTCACTAGTAAAACCATCTGGCTCCGGTGCTTTTTGTTTTTTAAGGTTAGTAATTATTGAATCAGTTTCTTCAGCAGATCAGGAACTATTAATATTATCTGTTTTGTCTTCTGTGAATTTTGGCAGACTTGAGCCTTTCAAGAAATTAGTCCTTTTCATCTCAGTAATCAAATTTGTGGCCATAGAGTTTTTCATAATATTCTTATTATCCATTGAATCAGTACAAATGACCTTTCCTTCAATTCTAATATTAATGATTTGTGTCTTTTTATTTCTTAAGAAAGTAAAAGTCTGTCTATTTTATTGATCTTTTTAGTGAATCGTCTTTCAGCTCTGATTTTTTGTAGTGTTTTTCTGTTTCATTGATTTCTGCTTTAATTTTTATGATGCATTTTCTTTTGCTGAATTTAGGCTTATATTGCTTTTCTTTCTCTAGTGTCTGGAAGCTTAGAGTGCTTATCTTA